TTCAAGAACTAATATGTTGTGGCGCAGAGTGCAAACGGTGCGTTCTTCGCGTCTCAGTCAAACGAAGTGCTGAGCGCTCTCCCTAGGGCAATGTCAGGCGGCTCTCCCTAGGGCAATGTCAGGCGGCCTCACACCACTGGAATATGCGCAAAGTCGATATCCTTTAGAAAACGGATCATCGCAAATCCCCCATGCGATGACGAGGATGACGAGGTTGAAATACAGCCAGAACAACTGAGGAAGCAAATGTATGACAGAAGTGATTTCGTAGACGGTAAGATATTCGTCGATTCTGCCCTGATGACCACCTTCACGTTCTACTTCCAGATGTCGAAGATGGAAGCGAGGGATCAAGCCTGGAGGCTGAATAGATTATATATGCCGCTAGTACTGTATTGTTCCCGCGCACCTGCTTTATGCCGCCGTGATATTGTCCGTAGCACGTCGTTTATCAATTCATGGTTTCTACTGCACTACATGATATGTTGTGATAAGACTACATCTGAAAATCAAACGAAAAACTTATCCCATCGGAGGAGATCGTGCCCCATCATGCAATATATGTGATGCCTACCGACGTTGTATGTTTGTCTCTGATTTTTTGCATAGGTGAGAAAAAAAACATATCACGCCCGTTCTCATCATGCCACGCCATAGTGGGTTTTCACTGGGAGTCACATATCTTCCCTTACAGGCTGTGATGCTACAATGCAACATTCGTTTTGCCAACTCTACGCTACCTTAATCTCGAAGATCAATGCTAAAGTTATTTGCTACGATAATGCCTTATATAGCCTTGTAATTCGAGACATGATAAGGGAAAATGCGAACGCTCGACAACCTCGACACAATTACCCTGCTATCCCTTCCAGGTTATGATGGTGTAATGTCACAACGTAGTCATGACTTGTAATGTTCATATATATTTGATGACCAAGGCTAGTGCTGCTTTTCATCATAAAGTCATGAATAGCTTTTTATTGAAAATTGAAATTATGACAAGTGAGCATGGCTAACATAGTGGACCCAAATTCAACACGATCCCCTGTTGGCCGTCATGTTGCTGTGTTGTACCCTTGTCATGAGTGCTTGAAGGTACTCTAAATTTGTAGATGTATATACCTATATATCAATAAGTCAAATTTATCGGCGTATGAATGGTGATATATGGCAGAAACATAATTATTTCTTTCTGTAGTTATCACGGGTACAATATCACGGACTCATGAATTCACTGATGTAGACATGCCGACTGAATTAATGTCTTGGATTAATAGAGTTAAACGCAAATCGGATTCGTATATCGTGTCTTGGTCGTGAAAGATGCTGATAGCTTTAGTAGGGTAGTCGGGATAAGACGTTTGTGTTGGGATTAAGATCCAGAGTAAATCCACCCTTGGTCGTCCTGGAAGATGGTTGAGGTTCCTAGTAAGCTCCCCTAGCGTGCGTTTGTTGTATGCAAAGTTACCGGGTTCTGCGAATCACCGGGCCCAATCACAGAGTTGCGCTGTCGAGATATGATCACTCGTGTATCGTTGATCGTTCAGTAAACGAGTTGCAGCACACGCATTGTAACAATGGCCTGAATGCTTCGAACGAGAACGAGACGATGTCGACAAGGAAATGAAAAGCCAACACATGGCCGCTCCTTATTTAACTTATTCACTCCCTTAAGTACTTGATAATGTACCGCCACCCAATCATAGCTCATCCGCCCTAATTTTGTTTCCGCGGGTCCGGCCATCGATTCGATGACTAACCGGTCAGCCCTCTTCGAGTGCACATGCGTGAATCACAGCCCCCGGTCCTCAATTCACTCAGACTTCAATTCGCTACGACTCTGATGCCTTCTCCCACTAAATTTGATCTGTCTTGTCTAACCTCTCCCGAGATATCACACAGCGGCGGTTTCAGAGTTTTGCCTCAGGCAAGATTTTAATCGAAATGAGAATAATAAATTAGTCATTCGTACTTTGAATTTCACTACCAGGGCAACGACAAATTGCGACTGAGAGGAAAATGACAAAGCACAATAATGCATTTCGACACCAATTTAAAGTCCATTTAAATGTATAAAATACTCGAAGTTTTATCATTGGTCCAAATGTAAACTTGTACAATCCTATTTTACGAGCTCACGCCCGTTGTGCCTTCAGCACAAATCGAAGGAGCGCTACGCGCTCCTTCAGGGGAGGAAAATGAGTGTTGTTCCTTCGTCACAGGAAGCCAAGGAGGGCTACGCCCTCCTTTGGCTTCCTGGCCTCAGGCTGCATCCTAATAAATTGTGCATTTTGAATAATTTTGAAAATACATTTATGAGCAGTTCAAAAAAACTAAAAGTACATAGTAAGATCAGTCAGTTCTACATTCTTTGAGCAGGATTCTGACAAAATTACAAAATATATAACAGTATCATTGAATGTATTTATTTTCCCATCTTTGCCTGTCGGAAAAAAGTTCCCAGGGTTTTAAGGCCTTGCAAGACATTTTAATGCTCTATTTGGAGGGTGTCCTTATAAGGGCTTTTAAACAGGTAAGATAATATTTTAATGCCCATTAAAAGGCACTTATAAGGGCCCTTTTGATGACCTTACATTGAGTTTTGCCTCGCCGTGCCTCAGAACAGCCCGTTAAAATGCCTTGTAAGGCCCTCTTAAGGTGCTGAGCCAAACTTGTAATCCGGCAGTATTACAATGGTACCTAACTTTTTTCCAACACCTACCCATCTCCCAATTGTCTCCTACATCCTCCCGTCTCCCGTCTCCCGTCTCCCGTCTCCCGTCTCCCGTCTCCCGTCTCCCGTCTCCCGTCTCCCGTCTCCCGTCTCCCGTCTCCCGTCTCCCGTCTCCCGTCTCCCGTCTCCCGTCTCCCGTCTCCCGTCTCCCGTCTCCCGTCTCCCGTCTCCCGTCTCCCGTCTCCCGTCTCCCGTCTCCCGTCTCCCGTCTCCCGTCTCCCGTCTCCCGTCTCCCCATTTTCCCATTCCCCCATTTTCCCATTTTCCTGTCTCCAATTTTCAAGTCTCTACATTGTCTTTTGCTCCCTTTTTGATTTTTCACAACTGTTTTCTGTCGTTTTTTCCTGATCTCTTTTATCTCCTTCACCACATATTTGTTGTTCCATTTTAAGTTTTATTATTTACTGTATGTATGTACCATAAACAATTACAGGAAGGAAAACACTTGAATTTTGTAAATGTAGTACTTGTAGTGTGCTACTCTAATGGGCAATGGAAATTGAGTTGGCGCTTGAAAACACATGACAAAGCCACGCGAGTTTCCAAAAAGAGGTTTAAGCGAGCTAAGCGCTCCCATGTGGCCTTTAGCGAAATACGCGAAAGCCACGCGAGCACCTGTGGGTTTCTGAAACCGTCGTACTTTACTTCTTAGATCCAAAATAAATCCAAAATTTTGATGTGCAGCAAAATGTTCCGTAAAATATTATATAATAACGGGCATTTTGCCACTCTGGGAAATTTTGCATTTGCCCTGTATCTAAATGAGTTGGGAAAATGCATAGGAAAATGTCAAGTTTAATTATAGTGGGCATTCATTGGGCGCTCACTGAATGTTGAGCGCACAACTGAGAATGTAACGCCGAGAACCCCTCAACTACGCCTGCGAGTCCATCCCATGGTTGAATTGACTTGAATTTGAATTGATGTCCATAGTGTGACACGTGACCTTGTGTGGCGGAGACGAGATAACATCGAAAGTGTTCATCTTTAAATCACCTTAATCCTGCTGCTGCTTTGATCAATGATGGCTGAAGTGCACACAAATGTAAGTCGGTAGCCCTGATTACACGCAGAACTAATGCATTATCTGTAGGCATTTGACATTAATGTAAGTCTAGCATCTGAGTGAGATGCCTAAGTGAATACACTAATTCTACGATACCAGTCTTTTCATGAGGTGGAAGAACAAGTTGGGAATGTCATGGAAGAACCAGCTGGAGATGGGGTAGAGGAACAAGCTGGGGGCATGGAGCACGCGGGAGGCGTTGAGCACACAGGAGGCGTTGAGCACGCGGGAGGCGTTGAGCACACTGAGACCTTTGCAGTAATGCCATTGGCACTAGTAAGTCTGTTGCTGCCCATCTCCATTAGCAAGTAATGATGTGTCTAGGCGCTATGGGACTACGCACAGGAAATTGTACAAGACAATATGGACTACGCGCAAACTCATCCGGACACGCCACTTCCCGTCCACCCCCCCATCCAAATGTCACGTCGTGAAAAATGCCTCCTAGTGTTGATGGTGGAGGATAGGTGTGAAGAGGTTTTGCAGTTATGGCAGGCGTTGAACGAGATAGAACATCTGTTGGGTTTAGAGCACATCTAGGATGTGTGGGACGGAGAGCCGGGGGGAATGGAAGTGACATATAGATCTGCCTTACGACTTACTTATGAACCAATAAACCTTTTGTATGGAATGCTATCCGTGGTTCATGAACCTTCTTTTCTGGAATGCCATCCACCTCTTGGATGGCTTACCTGCGCGGTTCATGAACCTTCTTTTCTCCATCTGCCACATGCTTGACATGCTCACTTCCCAGCAGACCTGTGCCAAAGTGCCGTTGCAGTGACACCTATTTGAAGTGTCAGTAATAAAAAAAGTAATTTGTAAATGTATACTTATCTCGCCCGCCCGATACAAATGCTCAAAAATGGGGGAACACTAGAACATATTTAGCACTGAGTTGACCAGCCATGGTGTTCTGAATCATTTTAAATCCAGTTGGTGGATGGAATCAACAGCGCACCCTTGAGATTCTTCAATTGAAGAAACTGGGTGGAATATGCACAGAGGTCCAGCAACCGTTCTGCTTCAGAATAGCAAGGGGCACTCCTTGAACCTGATTTTATATCAGTATTAATATGTATCACCAAGAAATACTGAACTTACTGTGGAACTGGGAACCATTCAAACCCTGAGTCCAGGTCTTCCCATCGGACATCAGACAAATGAACAAAAAAAACTTGAGAGGCACTGCTGAACATAATTTCATTTTACTGGATACCGGACGGAAAACTTGACACGTGTGGTAAGCGTAAGATAAATACATGACATGCAAAGTCTTAGACAAATATCATTGGCCGAAGGATACAAGGTTATCTAGGCCAGCTACCGAGCTGAGGTTTTCAAGGTCATCCACAGGATCTAGCTTATGTCTCTTGCCAGATGGTGTGACTTGTACCCGTACGGATGTGTCCTGTGACTTCGTGAATAAACGATGTCCGCTTGACTTGTCAATCGGATACAATTTTTGCAGGGCGGCCATGTCATTGTCAGGCCAGTCGGATGACATATGCTTGTTGTAAATATTGATGACGGCCTTGTGTGAGTGCAAGATCTGCATACCCATCTCTTTCTGGTATGCAGCAGACTCCAGCACGCAGCTTTCTGCGACATCTATCATCTTCTGCTGTACAGCCGTGTACACAGGCCCAACTTCGTCCACAAGTTCCTGCAATGAGAGCCGCAATCGTACAAGTTTCTCCTGTGCCTCAGGGGTGATGATGGAGTACCAATGCGAGAAGAACTGGGCCAGTTCAAGGACGAGGTTGTCAAGCGGTTTACAGTCGACAAATATATCCTGTGGAAAATCTGTTCTTGCAACAAGCCAATTCGATTTTGCACATCCTCCAGATCCCACCAATGGATCAGCATCGAAGATCTGCATAATGAATTGTGTCCAGTCAATGACAGTCATGTGGCTCTCCCTGTACATCAATGCCGTCCACAGAACAACATACAGACTGGATTCCAGGTCATCCTCGATACTGTGGACAGCAGTGAGTATTTTTGACGAGGTGAGCAGACATGAACTGCCAGGTTCCCTGGATACCAAAAAAATTAATACAATGAGTTTGAGCATGAAACGAACTTACCATGTGTGTCGTTTGTCGAGGACCCTGAATGATGACTAGCTTTGCTAGGTCCCAATCAATGAGGAAGCCCTTCCCTCGGTAGATGACGATGTTCCCGACGCTAAGGTCTCGATGTAATATTTTTGCGTTTTGATACGCATCCTGATGGGCTGTGTGGACCGTGAGTATGGACATCAGATAATATGGGAGTTTGAAGATACATACCAAGCAATGTGTCACGAACAGACTGGGCAAGTTGACGAGTGTTCTCAAAATCAGTCAACTTCTCACCCACAAGATCGAGAACCAGGCGGTGAAGAGTGTGGGGAGTGACAGCATTGTTGGGACAAGCCCATTCAGCATTCCCATACTTGACAGTCTGGGTGTCTTGCTGAGGAATAGGATGAATCACATCATGAAATGCGATGCACGTTGCGACATTGTGAACATTGTGGGACTTCAGTAATTTGTAAGTCTGACCTTCTGGCAGGACATCCTTCATCGTCACGCGCCAAGAGTCCTTGAACATTACGACCTTGTTATTGAATTTGTCAAATGCAGGGCACATGCGAGTCCAGCGGCCAACAAGCGGCCAACCTTTAGCAACAGGCTGGGGAATGATTAACGTCAACCAGTCAGAGTCCTCGACATCGGGATCCTGGGGGACTGCAACTTTGAACATGCGCGTAGTAGTAGCAAGGCTTAACGCCAGTCCTTGCGAGGGCAGCATCTTCATCACTAGCGGGCATTACAGAAGTATCGACGCCGCGCAGTGCAGGCGATGCTCATCCGAAACGATAGAAGAAATCGGCCAAGTATGGCTCATGATGGTAATTGAAGGTGTTTGTGACAATAGCTCCCTCCCTATCCCATCTGATGAGGCGAGCACGATTACAGATAATAAGGACGGAGAATGCGTGGGTACGATATTGAGCGGCCAGCTGAGCAGCAGCATAGCTCATTATTTGACCCAATGTATCGAAGGCATTGTCAGTCTGAGATACAATTGATTTATCGACTCCAGGACGTTTGACGAATGCATCATGCCTGTCATTCCATTTGAATTTGATATCGATTTCGAATTTGGAAATGTCGCAGCCGTGGGATGTTGTATCCACATATACACATAAATCCGGCTTGACCTTAAATGTGAATGCCGAGCAGTTATTCGTGTCTGCATGTTTGGACGTGTTCACAAATGATAATTTGGGAGCAAATGGTCGTATAGCGTTAATCTGGAGTTAGACTGTCAACGAACTTAATATCATAGGGGTAGGATCACTGCACGAATGGTTCATAAGCATCCTGCTCTTTTGAAATGGATTCCAAGTCAAATACTCCAGTTTGGGAGGCTGAAGCGAAGTCTGAGGGATCGTGATTTTTCCGGTTCGGTAGAAACACATCGAGAAAGATCTCCACTGGCATCGGGCCAACAATATTCTCTTTGATCTCCTTGCCCATGGCATTAAGAGTGTCTATTCGGCATCACGCAAGAGTCGTAAAAGGTAATATAGTGGAACTGTCCCGTTTGATGGGAGTGTCAATGGTTAAGTCATCCGCACGTTCGACGGTGTTGGGGGTAGCAGGAGCTGGTTGCGAGTCCTGCACGTCAACCTGTACTGGTATTACAACATCTACAACATGAGCCATCAGCTATCATAGGGCCGATCATGATATATACAATTTGATACAGATATGTATGTGTGTATGTACATATGGGTATGGGGTATGGGTGTCCAACACCGGACAGTGCTTTGTAACAAGTATGCTACGAGGTATATGTGAGAAAGAGAAAAGAGTACGAATAACACATGATGAGCTTTATATAGAGAGTAGAACTCAGTCCAGATGTTCCCGGTATCTCACGTGATTATGTGATTCAATAAACGACAACCGTCGCAATGATGACTAAATAAAATGTACAGCATTTAAGGACACATGAAAATGAACCCTATTCGTAGTATTTAGGGATGAAGAGATCAATCCTATTCATTGTGAGAATAGTATAATATATCATGGAGAGGGATGCACCAGACAGAGGGAAACAACAACAATATGACATGCAGAGAAGTTCCACCGCACGAAATGCGACACCACCCACTCCGGCATGACAATTTCAAGATTTTCAGCGAGGGCCGATGAATATAAACAAGCAGGGAAGTGAGGATAGTGGTGAAACGGATCTGGATGAGAGTCCAGCAGGAGGTGGCGCTGCACAGCGAAGCGCACTCCTTGCTCCATTTCAAAAATGTACTTGATGATTCCTGGAGTTCATTGCACGTTCCTGGCGCCGGAAGGATAATAGAGGATAAGGCTGTTACCCACATGGGTGGAATAACGGGTATAGATTGACCCCCGTAGAGTGTGCGAGCACATAAGACTACCCGCCGAACATGAATGAGCTTGTGGAGGTCTTCCGGTGTTGCATTTGCTAATATAGGGGATGTCTTGCGATCTTCACACAGATCATTAGTATCAATTAAGGGTGACACAAATCTGTCAAATAAAGCCTTTACATCCCTAAACATGGGAGGACAAGAAGGTCGGTTGAGCCAGTATTTGAGCTTCGCAGCCTGGATATATGAGCGGAGGAGAGTTGATTCTTGCTGACCTGTGAGCCAGCGTAAGTTCATCGTTGACAAGGAAGTTGAAATCATACCAAAAATATGATTGCTGGGCAGTCGCTGCAGCTGCCCAATGAGGCGCTCGTATGGGAAGCACCACCATGATCACATGGGACCAAAGAGCTGTAGGTAGTCCCACACGTGCAAGGCCATATGACCATTAGTGCGATGTGGTGCGTGAGGGAGTAGTGTCTGTAAGTCCCTCACCCAGTCGACAATGTATCCACGGTACACTGCTGCTCAAGCCGTCATCATAGATCGTAAACATACAATATGAACAGCAGATACAAGGGCCATCGTGTGGTTGAGGATTGCACGACAGTTGGCTGCAATTTCTGAGTTGCGGTGTGTAGACCCCTCGCCCCATAAACTAACTAGCGCTATGGGCAAGTATACAGTCGTTAATGTGCGCCATTCATTGGCCTTTATAGTCCCAGCTTTGGTTTCACCAAAGTTATAGGGAACTGATCTCAATGAAGAGGGCGTATCTGCTGTCCGAATGACATCAGTAATACGTTGCATGACTTCTGGGGTAGCGATACGCAATGTCGTTGACCCAGGAGTGAACGGTTCCGTTTGATGCTACAAAGGATGCTTAAAAGGGTGCGAGAATGCCAACACCATAAGATAAATTACTGACCCAAGCGATAAGAGATCTAACCCAGTGGGCTTTGTATACTTTTTTGCCAGGGTGTGTGACACCTGGCCCAATGCCCAAGCCTACTGACACGAATCGAAGACACGAGACCTTCTTCGACAATAATTTCCTCTCTAAGTTGGAGATGTGGTCCTCAATTAGCTGCGCATCATTTCCCTCAAGGTTGGGAACCGCTTCTGTAAGGAGGCCATAAATTGACTTGACAACCCTGATATCTTTCTCGCTGAAGTCTTGGGGTTTGTTAAGCTCGACATCGAGAAAGAGATGATCGAAAGCAGGGATAGGATCAGCCTTGCAATGTGCAGAGTCAGCAGTGAGGCCTAAAAATTTGTGGAAATGAGCGTGTGCGAGACCCTCCAGGAGACAATGCATGGTGTCGACGACGATCTGACGAGATGGATCCCAGTATGGTAACCTCCATAGTGTCGACCACCGCACCCCGTGTGCTGAGAATAACTTATTGTATTCAGCCGAAGTCCCGGCTTTCTTCCAAAGCTCAGCATAGTGCCGCACTTCGCTCTTGCTCCGAAGTCTCCAAGATTCGGACTGTATATCTGTTCTGCCGCAAGTTGACCTATGCCAGCAATGACAGGTGGTACAAAAAAAGTGGCTCGTTGGACCTGCCAGCTGAGTGGCCTTTCTTGCTGCCGGGAGGTCACACACTAAACAAGCTATGGCGCTGCGTGTAACCCAACCACGAGTATGGAGAGCTGTGCGGTTGTAACGTATTCTGTGTTCCCAACTGTCTAACATGTCATCGACCATGGGATCAAGGAAATGATTTAACTGATCTCCTGAAGGTTCCGAAGGTCTGGGAATGATGCTGGCTAAGTACATGTTCTCGGCTTTGTACCTGATATCAAGGGGCAGGTTCAAACAAGCACAAGATATGATGCCAGTGGACGTTAAGGCATTTCTCTGCAGATTGCCTTCGATGTTGAAGAAATCAATGTTGAGCGTAAAAGCATATCGGCCCTCGTCGCCTCTATCAATAAATAGAGACTGTCCCGAAGGACCGCTGAAAGTGCGAAAAAAGTCCGCATCCCAAACATCCTTGATGATATGTGGTGGGCTTCCGATGGAAGCTAGTAGATCATTGCAAGGCCTGTCCATCAATGCTTCCAGGTCAGGACATGACAGCAATCCAGCAAGGTAGTCGTGGAAGTGGTGGTAGAGGAAAGTTCCCATGAGGAACTCCCCATGTCTGCGACCGATGCCGAAAATGACAACAGAGACGGCCGCTAGAAAGAGGGACACTTGGGCAACCTTGTCACAATGCTCGATTGGTAGATTGTAATGGTGTGCTTCATACGTCTCAGTCCAAAGGGCATCATCAAGGGCATGAACAAAACTTACAAGAATCGAACTCGAACAGTTCAGATGATACGGAAAGTTCATCTTCCTTGATAGCAAGTAGTCTACAGATTTCATCGCATGACATCTCTAGCTGACGTCTATGAGAAAGGATGGAGGCGACCTTGTGCTTTATTTTGCTGAGAGTGCTGGTTATCATAGACAATTCACCTCGGATGGCGCGCAACACATTATGAGACGTTGCAGAGGAAATTCGTGCAAGAACCCTGTTCATCTGTGACTCTACGATTGTCAAGGTCATTTGAGCCCTCGACCGGCGCCACATTTCAACAACCTGGAGAGCACGGGTGATATGTCTAGGAAACAGCCAAGTTAGTGACCTGAAGGTGAGGCCAGGCGTAATACTTCACTGTGTATCATCTAGAGTGAGTCCAGCTCCCGTATCATCTGTAGTTTCTGGAGATGAGTAGGCTTGTCCCCTGTCTTGCTGCACTTCTGAATGAGGAACCCATAGTTTGCTATGGCTGTCTGGGTCGGTCTCGTCGTCGGTGAGCATGATGGAAAATAGCTCTGCGGCGAGATCGTCGACCGACGTCGACGTACTGGGTTGATGTTCGAAGGACGATGCTTGACTATTTGTAGCATGGAGTAACTCAGTAGGCTGAACCTGGCGAGTAAGGTGAAGGACAGATGCCTCGCGTCTGGAAGATGCCATGTTGGCACTTTGCATCATGTGAGCGCTCTTCATAGCAATGGGCACTTCTTTTCCACCAGGGTTCCTAGGTACATTGTCTCCTCCAACGTCACAGCATCGCGCACACTTACAAAGAAATATTCGGCTAGGCATCTGAGTGAGTAGAATGAAGTGCGAGGTTGTAATAAAGTACTCAGAAGTAATGGGTCATGGGTGAAGGTAGCAATACAATGCAGCACAACCTAACAATGGGTTACGGGTGAAGGTAGCAATACAATGCAGCCCAACCTAACAACGTTAGGGAACATGCTCATTTCAGGCGAAGCCGTATAATGCCCGCTAGGTGGGCGCTCACCTGCATTCAATATAAATGAAAATAATAAGGAAGACGAAAACTGAACAAAGTAGTTAATTAGTACTGAGAATTAATAACAGGCACTTACAAGTCAACTGAACGATGTGAACCTTGAAACGCAGTAAATTATATTATCATCTGTCCATCTAGGGATACATTGTTAGGAAATATGTTCATTTCAGGCGAGGCCATATAATGCCCGCTAGGTGGGCGCTCACCTGCATTCAATATAAATGCAAATAACAAGGAAGACGAAAACTAACAAAGTAGGAAATTAGTACTGAGAATTAATGATGGTGGGCACTTACAAATGTTCGTTTCAGGCGAGGCCTGTATAATGCCCGCTAGGTGGGCCGTTCACCTGCATTCAATATAAATGCAAATAACCAGCAAGACGAAAACTGAACAAAGTGTTGATTAGTATGAGAATTAATGACAGTGGGCACTTACAAGTACACTTCCAAACAACCGAACAATGTGAACCCTGAAACGCAGCAAATTACATTGTTATCTGTCCATGGGTATTACCGACACAGATCATCGTGTTTCAATTACAGTACAATAATACATACAAGGATACAACTCGTACAACACTATTTTAACTTGGTGTGGCTCACCAGCCAGGGAAACTTTCAGTACTACAGCTAGCTCTACATCATTCGCAGCAAATCTGCGCATAATGTCGAGAAGGTCCTCCGCAGTGGAGGTCGAGTAGCCTCGCAGACTAACACACTTGATTTGAGAGAACACTCTGATCCAAGCCGCAGATAACATCTATGACCACGATCAGTATTGAAACAAGTTATTTGATGACAACATACTAATGAATCTCCTGCAGCATCGGCGCCCAATACTGAGTAATCAATAGCCATGTGTTCAATGCGAATTGCCGAATGGGAGCCCGGGGGACATATCATTGCCGAACGGGAGTAGCTCTGAGGAGGCAAGGAAATTGTAAGATATGAAACACTGTTGCAACAGCTGACACATTGTAGAATGGTGGTGATATATTCGGGTGATGCGTCATTGGCTTGCAATAAAACACCAAGGCAAGCGAGGGAGGGTGGATTATGGTGACTCCGAAGGACCGGGAGGATGTGGGTCAACAGGTCCATCTAGCACAGACAAAGAAAGTGTTAAACTGAATGTTGACTCGATTGATCCTCCAGGAATTACCAGGTTGTGGCATGATGGCGAGGTTGGTAACAGTAGGGTGACGGGCCAGAAAACGAATGAGTGTGGATGGTGCACAATCAGCATCGGCTCGGAATTCGACGAGTGTTGGAATGGCTAAGTACCGCAGGAGTTTGTCCCAGTGTGCAGGGACTGAGTTTGACAGAACTAAGGTGCAAGCTTTTGCAGAGAGGCAGAGCGGATGGTTTGCACTGTAAATGGAAGAAGCTGTGGGGAAAATAACTGCCTGTGATGATACCTCAAACAGCTTTGAGATGGTTGGTACCCATGTAATCTCCAATTCGGGTAAGTCCATCGACAGACTGACGGACGAGCGCCATCACAGAAACCCATGCATGTCAGCTCTTCGCAACTGGAGGCACAATGTTCTCCAGAAATGTGATGATTTGAGGGAGAATCGGGGAGGTCACGATGTTGAAGTTCCAAAAGAGGGTGATATATCGTATAGATTTCTGGGGAACGGAGTGGAGGAAGTGTAAAAATGCAGAGAGCTGTGAGGTTCCCAGATCAGAATTTAACCAAGACAACATCATGCGAGGTGGACAAAAGGTATCCATTCGTATCCAAGTAGCCAGAACATCAAAGTTATGGGAATCAACATGGATATGAAACATATCCTGTGGTGAAGTTGGAAAATTCCTGTTAACGAAGAAGATAGGGCCAGTGATTTCTCTCAACAGAGAACAAACTTGTGTAAGAGAGTGTAGATCATGTGCGCCTAGAAAGAGCAACGATAGCAACGAGGATTTCTGCAGGTAGTAACCAAATGAATATTGTGGCGGTGTTATACGGCTTATAGCGGTTTATGCGTGTGATCGGAAAGGGACCAAGTTGACCATCCGCCTTGCGCTTCAAGAAAACATCTGACTGCAGTCAATATTAGTGAAAATAAATATGTATCGCTAGATTTTTCATACCACCTCCCTATACAAGCGCTTGGCAGTGGGACTGGTGAAATCGGTGTCGTGACGATGTATTTTTCTCGGCTAGAACATCAATAACACTAATGTAACTATTGGAAATTTGAACATACCGTGGCGACAACCTGGCTCACAGTTGCCTGTGGAATATGATTCCAAGATGCGTTGCTTTCGAGGGGATGTTGACTCGGGCAAGTCAATTTTACATTTGAATGGGGTCTGCATCAACATCAGTCGACAACATGTGTAAGATCATGTGCAAGTACCTTTACATGTTGTTTTTGGTATCCATGTCTAAGAAGGGACAACGTCGGTGCCACGGCAGCACCCTCCTGGACGCAAACTGGATAGTATATGTCCTAGATGATGTTGAGGCCTCTAAAGGCTGATTTAGAAGTAAAAAGCCCACCATTAAAAAGTTGGTCATTCGCATGTATATCGAATGCCCTAGCCCAAAAAAATGAGAACCTGAAGACGACAAATTTGCATGTCTTTTAAGTGTCGTGCAATTAAACGTGCCAGGAGGTAAAGTGATTGTTGGATCCCAGAGCGGTAAGGGTGATTGTGTTGGACGCGTGGAGATATGCGCTCTGATTGCATTTTGGGATCCAGAGATACAAGACACTCAAGCGAGTAGGGGAGACAATTGTAGGCAAGCTAGCCAGTAAGGGAGACAATTATCGGTTGTCATGCACTAGTTGCTAATAAAATCTCGAAAGTTAGTAGAAGTCAGCCATACTTCAATTGAAGTCACTATGTCATCGCCTCGCAAGACTGCTGCAACCCATAGAAGACACTTTAATCTGTACACTCGGCCTGCATCAAATCACAAACATCCAACCACGGAAATACGGCACTACGTACTGTACCTTTAGCAAGGGAATTTGCCCTATATTTCGATGGCTATGAGGGGGTTGTAAGTGAAGATCCCCATTCTCGTGATTCGAGAATAACTTACTGGACATTATTCTCAGCTGAATACTCAACACTTGTGGATGGGATCTGCGATGATCGTTGATGAACCCACTTACAGTAGCTCATTGGAAACTGCACAATACGTCTCAACTACAAGTATTCCAGCAGGCGGCGAGGTTAGTGACACCACCAAATTGCTAGGTTCTGACGAAACTTACAGAATTTGAAGATGGACATTTTCCGTATCGTTCCGGAACTAAATGCAATGGCCGATGTTGGCGAAGACATTGGGGGCAGTCGGACTGCGAAATATCTGTGTCCGAAGAAGCGAATACTTATTCGCTCCCTGCAGAAGGCAGTTAGTAAGTGTATTGATAGTTCTTGTGAAGGAGGGCATCCTACAACCGACCTTTTATGAGAACACATCTATACGGCGCTCGAAGTTGTACTGCTGGATATCAGGGTCAGTGAGATCATGCCTAGTCATCGTCCAAAAGACGTAAGGCGGTCGATTTTAATTTCACGGTAATCGCTGATGAGATTTATTATCAGAAGATTAGAACAATTAGCGATGGCAGTAGCCCACCTGCGGCAGTACAATCCCTATCTACTAAAACAATTGCAAGCTCAGTCCGACTAAGCTCCCCGGTAGGGATGCCAGGAGGATACCCAGAGAGTGAGACGCTGCACAAAAAGGATGCCAGTAGGATACCCAGAGAGTGAGACACGTGTTCTCAGCACAAATACGCAGACTGTATAATATGAATTAGTAGCTACTGACGATGAGCACTGCAATTACTTGCAGGCTAGCATATCTACTGTACTTGGTACAAAGTAATGCCAGGAGATGCAAAAACGACCAAGTAAGCGGAGATCAACTTAATATAGAGAATGACTGATACATTTCAACTCCGCTTGAATGGCAGAGCCTACATATAATGATAGACATAGCATAGGTAGTACAATTGGCGATGGCGATGGCATACAGTGATGTGATATTGTACAATACAACTGACAATGACTGATTTCACTTGTGTGCAACCATGATTTCCATCCTCTGGAACTTTGTGTTAGATACCTTGAATGTTGAACGTTGCTTACTCAACCACAATGGATTGTAGAATGCTCTAGGTAGAGCTGCGACTGCCGGTTGTAAGGACTCCCGCTTAGGGTTGTGAAGACACTTTGCGGGCTTGCTTCCCCTTGGAGTGAAGATCGCAGCACCTGCAAAACGTTGCGCGTCAACAATTTTCATCTCATGACTGAAATCAGCTCTCCACGGCATGCTTTTCAACCGAAGAGCCTGAACTTCGCAGTCATCGACGTCACTCTCATCAGAGCTCATCCCATCTTTACCCAGCGTCTCCACAATGGAGTTCAAATACACCCATACGGGTAGATCATCTTTTCCCGTCACTTTCCGATCACTGAGCAGGGTCGACGTGACCTTTTGGCGAGTTTCGAACTTCTAAGGAGCAACTCAACTATTAACAACTCGATCAACAACAAAACCAAAAAAATGACTTACTGTTGCCCTACAAGTCAGGACCCTAGCCAGTCGCAGTCATTTGTTTGTCCGATCTACCAAACAATCTCCCACTTCTTGCATACTCTCACAAGTGCCATCATTGCGGAGGAGAGGCTGGGCCTTTCTCCAGCACTTGCGACATTGATCAAATTTTAATATGATATTGTTTGTGATCGACTGATGGGACCTTGCGGACCAGTGGTTCTTCTCCTCCATGGATATATAGATAGACAAGAGTATGTCAGTGGCTCGTTGGTTCCAATCCGATTTGTGTGTGGCCGTTATATCCCACTGCAGCATAAGTGGATCTGGACCATGACCCGTACCGTCTATGAAAGATGTGACGGCTTCCCGCGATGCCCCACTATAAAGCATATAGTCCTCATCTTTCGTGAGATGGAACATCACTTTGAATAGTTCACAGACATTCGCCTGATGTGGTATTAGCGATGTCATCGGAAAGAGCGAGTTGCGCACCTTGTTATCTCGACGTTGAACATCAGTGAAATATTCTACAGGGCAGTCAGCCTTCTTATGTCACGTCCAGCGTCACCACTGCCGGCGATCTGAGGCTCTTCGTCTACAGGAGAATCTGAATCCTCATCAAGAATCTGGGAAATAAAGTGTGATGAGTTATAATACGGAGGTGCAACAAGTATTGCCTTACTGGCGAATACCTGATTATGTTGGTGCATGTGGCAATAGGCTTTTTACCTGTGAGATGCCATGCAGGTGGTGACACAGACACTGCAACTTGTGCTTGTCGGATTTGACTCTGCAAAATTATCAGAACCTCATCCCGCTCACATTATGATATGCACATCCAATGAGGCATTCTTGAAATTATACTGAGCAGTCAAGCGGGTCAATTCCATCTCGTTTTTGACCAACATCTTTTCTCTTGCTATGGCGGTCTCATGCAGATATACAGCCTCTTTCTCTGCCAATACATGATCTCACTCCACGTGTGCAGTATTTTGTACTTCATCAATGCCAAGTGTCATCCGGTTCTACACATGAATGTTACGACAGTCCACATTGTTAAATAAAGTTGGTTTACCTGGAGTGTGACAATTTTGTTGTGGTGCTGCTGCTCCAACGAGGTAATGGCCTCGACTTTCTTGAGTTCAAGGGATTCAAGTTTCTGACGATACTGATCAATGACTGATTGCATCTCCGACTCCTGCGAGTTGGCATTTCTCTGGAGGCGAGTAAGACAAGAACATAAGCTACTTGAAACAACGCCTTACCTGAGCATAGCGCTTTCGGAGTAACAGTTCATGTTTGCTGTACTGTAGTTCATGAACGTTATCGCGCAGCCTAGCTGACTGATCAACTTCTTTAAGAAGGACCTTGGTAGGCTAAATATTTGTTAGCTGGGATACAAATACATAGATATTGTAAGGCTGACACGATCAATATCACCATCTCTTGGCCTACGGACAGTCTCCCAGGGGTTATATAGCGACATCGCAAAGTCCTCATTGGGCAGGGCAGCAGGCTTGGGTGGGTAAGCGTGAACTGAGGTTGTAATAGGCTGGGGTGGATATGTGTGCACAGGACGAAGCTCATGGAGGGAGTACGACTCAACAGATGGATCAGGATTGTCATCGTCAGGATGGGAGGAAACAAAAGTCATCAGACGGGACATCTTGTCTTAGAAGACGAGTCAGCATTTCCGCAATTTATTTGAAAAGAATTGCTCACTTAATAGGCCGAATAGATGATACAACATTCATAACAAATACAACAATATCCGGTATCACAGGGGTTGTAAGAAGCAGCAGGTTGATATTCGGTTGGTACAATATACAATGAAATGAATCCGATACCACTCATGATCAAACTATTTCCTAATTCCACTTCCATCTATTTCTTCTTAGTTGCTTTTTGTCGTTCCTTGGCAGAGAGATTTTTAAGTTGCATCTGAATTACATCTCCCACTGGCCAACAGTCTTGATAGTCATGTAATTCAGGAAAGTGTGCGATGACTTCAAATGGAAGTAAGTTAAAAAGAAGTGTAGATTCCATAGACGTACATCATTCTGAACAGAAATTAATGCAGTAGGTAATTGGTGCGTTTTGCTCTTGTGAGTGTCGCAATGCTTGTTGATATATCGGTGAACGGACTCCTAACGTCATGAATATCATGAATATACATAGGAACGCATCGATAATTTACTATATCTTACCTTGAACTGTTTGAAGCGAAGAGCATCCCAATGGAGTGTATCTTCCAAGTTATATCCACCACGACCCGGACACCCTGCCTCACCCTCTGGTTTGAGAATTTTCGATGTATTGGAATTCATGGACGTGATGGAAGAGCACATGGACAACTGGTCTAGCTCACCGAGCTGCGACACATGCTCGGCTGAGAAGGAAACTGCTTTGGTGACTTTGGGAGTGGAAGGGCGAGAAGAGATAGGTGTGGTTGTACGAAACGATGTGCCGATGAAGATACACGAAGGAGGAGGAAGAACGTGTCCCCTAAGTGTAGAAAACAATATCTCTTCTTGCGAGGATATCAAGACAAACAAAGTAGTTGGATAAAGTAATTCTGTGTGATATGTCAACAATGGAAGCAACTGTGGAGGACCATTTGCCTGATGGAAAGCAGGGACAGGCACAGATGTATGAGACATGACTGACTGTCCGAACACTCAAGTGATGCTTTATCACAAATGATTAGAATAGTGTCTGATCATGAAACAAGCGCCTGATGGGAGAACAAAGTTGCCAAGGAGATCTTGCCACCAAGTGTTGTTATTGTATATCCATCTGCGCTGGTGTAATTGTGTGGTCAGCCGTTAAAGACCGTCAACATATAAGGGATTGACTTACATCGCGGACCACCGATGTGTTTGCTATGCACAAACGATCACAAGGAATATCGCCTTGAAGGGCGTCTCATTGGACACAAAAATGCGATTAATTGCCTGTCCGTCTCAAGTAAAGGCACTCTATTGGCAAGCGGGGGTGAGTTTTGTATATGTCAGCCTACAACAAAACTCACTAGGGACTAGGCTTGGATGGCATGAGGGTCTGGGACCTCAAACGGTGACTTCAGCTCCCAACTCCTCGTCATGTCATAGGCATTTAAAATCCAGCGGATCCCGTAACATGCGCATGCTGGATCACCCGCCAAGAGGTGACGCATGAGACATTGTGCTACGGTACAGGACTGGGCTTCATTGGCATTTGGCAACAGCACGGCAAAGGTTTACAAGACTTTGACGCCAAAATATCAAGAAGAATTGGCACAGGCAAAGAGATTATGTGTCTTGCCTATGATCATTATGGGAACGACACCTGAATTGCTACTGGGACACGCGACAAACACGTTCAAGTCTGGTCGTTTAACTTCAAGGGTCCATTAGTTCCTATCTTCAGCATTGAGCTCTCTACAACGATCCCACACATGATTAACTTCAATCGCACCAACAGTCGACACATATTGGTCTTTGGCATGTATGATGGAGAGGTGTAGGTCAATATAGCTATCCTCAAAATGATTCTGACTATGTACTAGGCATCAGCTCCGCGGCACGGATGGAGTTATTGTTGCTACACACAATGCTGGACCGCTGATGTCAGTGATATAATTGGATATAGTTGGCGTTCCTTACAATTTCACCAAAGCGGACATGCCTCCGTAGACATCACTCAAACATTATTCCTCATCGACAATGTGATGAACGGATTCAGCTTGCACCGACTGGACGACGGAGCGTGCATCCGAACCTACCATACCAACCCTGTCAAGACATTTCCTAAGCAGGTAATGTTTGGCGAAAATATGGACGTAGTGGTTGGAGGCAGTGACGCAGGAGTCATCTACGTTTTTGACAAGAACAAGGGTACACTTAAGCAAGTGTTAAAACATGCAAACAAGGCGCGAGTGCAAACTGTGACAGTATGCTCTTTCCATGAATTAGATGACATATGTCTAACAGATTGTAAGACCTACGATGACGCACATTATAGTGTAATTGTTGGGGCAACATCACAGAATGATGCAGAGGCCATTATCTCCATCTGGAGTCGCCAACGGGACAATCATGCGACCCCACATCGCCTAGGAACCGCACTCAAACACTTCGCGTGGGGAATTGTTCAGCTAACCATCGCAATGGCTCTGTTGATATACATTAGCAATGTCATAAGTTGGATCTAATGTTAAGCTGCACACAGACTTACCACGATGTAGCTTATCAGCCAACATATGATAATGAACACATCAGCGAGCTCATTCGTGTCGCTCGGACATATTTGGCAACACTGGGGCACTCGACCGCATGAGCTGACAAATGATGACATCTGTGTCCTGAAGCAATATATTGAAGACCGAGGAGAAATTGTAGGAAGTTTGAATGAAAACACGCAACGTACTACTGGACCGGGAACGACTGTAGTAAGTTCTAAAATGAAGGCGCATGACAAGGAGACACAGGCTGTGATTATTCTCGGGAATTAAGGAATTATGTATCATAGAGCACAAAGTACAAAGTACATTCCATGCTAAGTCAAATTCTACATGTACGTAGCTAAACAAGCACTTCGAAGTTTGGAAGAAGTGTTATATAGTGAAGGACTACATAATCAAACTCTGCCGGAGAATTACTGAAGCGGTCGGTTTACATAATCGCGCCAGCCAGCTGGGTTTCAATTTTGCCAGTCATTCTCTATATCATGGCCGTTCTTCTTGATATTGCCCTTCTTTCCTCCGACTTATTTGACTACGTAGTACTTGTGATTATGTAGCACATGATGATCGATGATCTCCCATTATATATTCGTGCAGGCAAGCACGCTTTTGCTGATTATATATATCAGCGGGCGGGACTGAACACTGTAAGCAAAAGTACAAGGTCCACAATTGTCCTTCATACAATAGAATGTTGCATTCATCCACAAATTCGTGGGTTTTCACAATGATAAGCTAATCCACATTAAGTCGTTCACTATAAATATCGAACTTGCACCTGCATGATTTTCTTTCCGCTACCACTACCTTGATGATAACATAACAGATATTTTGAACTTAGCATAGACTTTCGACGTATAGACTGAATACATTGTATGTCATTTCTAAGATTGCTATGTAATGACACTGAAGCCAATGATGTAGAACTAAATTATAACAATGTCCAAATGTGCTGCGTCAAGTGATGACGCACCTACGGGGAAGCGCATCAGAATGGATGAAGGTGAGTATTGTTCGTGATATGATATTGTCGATCTCGTTATTGACGCATGTTACAGGAAGTCAGACAGCACCCCTGGCGGATGAGCGTGCATGGAGAATTTTGGAGGAGTTTCTTACGACCGATATGACATATCCTCGGATGGAGGAAGCCTTTCTAGCGTACCTCAGCAATCAATATTCTGAAAATGAATGGAAGGAAGCCTGAGATATGTTGTTCTCCGGTGACGGTGATAACACTGTCGCTTTGGATAACCTTCGTGTTGTCAAGGCAAAGCACATGTCTCAAGCTCCTTGTGCACCCAAAGTTCCAGACAGGCGATTGTCCCAGGCGCACGTTCGACCTTCGCATAGACCCGCCAAGGTAAGTGAAATGTACCTTTATCTATATCTACTGAACAGTATCTGCAGTTACCAAATCCCTATCTTGATCTGTATGCAGGAAAAGAAGATGAGGAGGATGAGGGGGAGGATGACGACGACGACGAGGATGGGAAAGATGAAGACAACGATGATGGGAAGGGTGGGGACGACAATGATGCGTGGAAGGTTACACACTTACCAGGGTCATCATCGGCAACTAGGTTCACTGCGGTGATCAATAGCCTCGCGAATAGATTCAAGGATACACAGCGCAACTCGCTGCTAGATCACCAAGTTCTTCCCTACTCGATACCTGGCTTGGTGGCTTCGGCTTCGGCTCGATCGCATGATGGGAGGATGTATCTTCTTCATGTCCACCGTAAGTCTTTCCAACAATATTATCATTTATCACTCATCACTCATCCGTCACAGGAAATGTTACAGACTATATTGCTGAACACCTCCGGAAGGAGAACTTCTGCGTCATGGTGTCAGCTTGGTTAGCGGGGCAGCTCTATGTGGTAGCAGACAGCCCTAAAACCATCTCCGAATCCCTCCCTTTCTCACTCCACCTCGCCGTTAAACGATATGATCGTATATCGGATGAAGAATGTGAGGCAGTCAAGCGGTCTTGCAGACAATTCCCCAACCCAGCGTGGGTAAGGTTTAAACATGACAAATACAAGGGCGATATAGCCCAAGTCTTCGACTCTGACTTACCAAACGATGTGGTCGCAGTTTTAGTTCCCCCACGGGAACTCCCTTATCCCATGCCTCGAGGGTCTCGGTCATTACTGGACCGATCCCGCCTTCCGAACGAAGACGCGGTCTCCGACATCAATCATGGCGAAGAAGTCATAGGGTGCAAATACAATGGAGAGAGGTATTATATGGGTCTTCTACTTAAAAAGGTCCACCGTGATTGCCTAGAACATGTTGTCTGCCCTCATGCTGACGACATACAACTCCACCTACAATCTGGGTGGAACCAAGCTTTCCTCAAATCAACTGTGCTTGCGTAAGCCTGGAGATGTCGTGAGAGTCGCCCGTGGGCCAGAGTATCCCGCGAAAGGGGTCGTGCGAAGCGTTGACTTTCCAAACACTTGCTTGACTCTACTCTCTGAGATCGACCACTCGCTCGTCAGTACTAATTCTTCTCGACTTACGCATGTCTGACTTCCCTGACTTCTGACAGGTTCACGTTCCCATTGGATTCGTGATCAAAGTGTACAACGTCAGCCTGGATTCTTTCAAGAAGGACATTGGGCAAGAAGTTTTCATTATTGGAGGTGGCCGTAAGGGCTACCGAGCCACGTTGTACAGTTTCAACTCCACGGATTGCACCGTTGCCCTGCATGGACAGCAGCACACTAAGATTCAGCTCAAGGACGTTGCTACCAGGTAAGTGATACGCACATGTTTGCATGAATCGATGTCACATGTATTTAGGTATGGCATGAGGTTGAACGGCGCCATGCTCGAAGGACCCGACATGTTATCTTTTTGCGAGATGCGGAGAAGATCTTACTTGGTCCCGCAACTGAGAAGCGTCACCCCCCCCTGAAAAGGTTGTCTCAAGTTCGTCAGCTTCTATTGCAAATCCGTCATCAATCACGTGGACCAACTGGGGCGCTAGCTCCGAGGATCTGGGCATGGCCGGTAACCCTTCTAGCCTCAATCCATCACAGACTGCCGACCCCTGGACTGTCGATATCAATGACATGCTTCACGCTAGAACGGAAAAAACCGAAAAGAGTGAGTCCTCTAACAAAACCCCTGTAGCATCCACTTATTTGATTGTAGGCCTGCTAGCATGGTTGATGAGCAAGGAATTTTTGTCCAAGTTCACCACTTATCACGCGATGTTGAAAGTTTCTCCCTCCTTCATGGGAGGCAGACTGCACAATCGATTCGTATCAACGGCTTGTCTTGATCCCTTCCTCGGTCAGAATGGACCCGCCTCCGAAGGCTGTGTTGCAGTATTCTGCTCGTCAAATACTGCAGGTGCTGCGATTCAGCACTATCACATACCTGCCACGGATTTGAGCCCAGCCCCTCCGCGCAAAAAAAACCAACAGTGTATTGTTCTCGACGGAAGTTATCGCGGTTGTGTCTTTAATGTAGCTAAGTGTTTCCTCAAGAAGAACACTGTGGATATCGCAGTTACTCCATCAGTGTTTATCAATTTGCGCTTTGATCAGATTTGTCTTGTAGAACAGTCACGCATCACTATGTAATACCTTACTGTATCATTGTCATAATACTGAGTGCCCATCAAATCCCTCAGGAATGCGTGATGAATGCTTGCTTAGCGCTCTTATGAATGTGCGATGAATGTGCGATGAATGCCCGCTGGGTGCCCATGTTGTTTTCCCATGCATAAAACTTGGCATTTTTCCTTATTACATTTTAATGTCAGAAAAATTTGAGTTTAACTGCTATGGGGAAACACCAGTTATTATATAATATTTTGCATAACATTTTTTCTCATTCAAAAGTTTTTATTTACCTTTATCACAAATTTTACATATTGCATGGTAATTTTTCCTGGCTGAAAACCCCAAATATTAGTCAAGACTCAAAATGTGCGGTAAAATGTGTCACTTTGTATTGCCATCTCACCGTTCATTCAAATTTCATCTTGTTCTCCACTCAAAATTCAAAGTGGAAATCCTTTATTTATCAAACCCATTTTGATTCAAATCTTGCTCATGTCAAAACTCCGAAACCACCGATGTGTGATTATCTCATCTATGTGATCGGCGATAGCGATCAGTTGTAGATATTTGGAGCACGGTAAGATACTGAACTCTGTATACTTCTATATCTTTCCCTTGCTTTTCGGACATCATCTTCCGACGGTGCTTGTTCTACTGGGAGCTCTGCTACAATATCTTTCAGCACTAAGATCATGTCATTGTGCGTGACAGGATTTTCCGGGAAAGTGGCAGACTTGCTGCCATTGGGTTTAATTTTCAAGGAGCCTGGAGGCGATAGCTTTGAGGCGAGATTTGCAAGACCTTTCACAATAGGCGGATGGTTGAAGTACTCTGAAAAGCACGCACTGCACGTGGAAGACCAGTCCTCCACCTGGAATCTCTCCTGAGATATGTCTAGGCGATGGGAAGGCAGGCAATCTGGCTGCAGCCAGTTGGTACGCAGCTAGGTAGTACCGTGCGTTTTTGGCTATAAGGCCCGACAAAATTGATGCAAATGGAAAGCATGACCCAGAGGAACGATTCCAAATCATGTCTTCGTCGTGGCGAACAACTCTTGTGCCACAATATTTCTGTTGCTAAGTATTCCTACAAAACCTCTAGTGGCTGAAATAACATAGGTCCTCAGAGGTCTCACCGAGAATCTATAGAAACTTGTCTTCTTGTGATCAGGGTCCATGTGTTTTGCGAATCTCCAGCCGCAGAGCATCGCTTGGCGTATTGGAGGTGTTCCGTCCCCATTCCAAAACAGTATGACACTCTCATCACTTGGATCATTCACGTGCAGACAGATGGAAAGCGGATTGATGTCATTATGAAGCAGCTTGTGCGAGAAATACACAGTACGGTGGGCTATCATGCACATTCTCTCCTGGTGCAGTCGACTACCATCATGATGACGATATATGATTTGGGTTCGATAATAGAACACTGGCGAGCTCCTGCTTATTGATGTTCGAGGAGTTTCTACGCAACGCACGTGCCCATCTGTTCGAACTTAAGGGGTACCATCATCCTGTAATAGATCTATACGCATAAACACAGGCGCAGACCAATATTCCTCGCTGTGTGTTGTCTGCAATGTCAGGCAACCCTGCCAAGCCAAACAGCTCCGCAAAATCAGGCGGCTCGAGGAGATCACGATCCCATGTAACCATGCCGCCACCACCACCACCACTTGCTGCAACCACTACCCCACTCCAGCAACAACCAGTGTCTAGCCCATGTGCCCAGCACACGCCAGCAAATGCTGGTGTGGCTAAGGCGAATGCGGACAACACTTTGGTGAAGGAGAAAGGAAGACGCCGGGGGAAAGAGAAAGGAGAAGAGGAATGGGAGAAAGAAAGTTGTCGAGGAGACGAACAAGGTGCGCTGCCCACTCCCAACATACCTCAATGACCTCTCACATCTGGCTCATGATATTCTCGCTATTCCAGGCTCAGCTGTTGCTGTCGAACACATTTTTTCCGGTGGCCGTGATACTATCTCACTTCGGCGTGCTAGCTGTATCTCGCCCACCGTCTCTCACCCTGCTGTCTCTCACCCGCCGCCTCTCACTCGAGACACGCAGGTGTTTTCTCCCTGTTCTGTGTATAAAAAAAGGTGATGGCAACATCTGAGAATGGAGGCACGACTCAAACCGCACGTACCTCTCTCATTGTCCTGAATGTCTTCCTTCGCTGACGACGGAGGTAAAATGATTTCAATTCTAACAAACACTCTCACTGATGCGTGCCTTACAAGGCAGCTTACTTCAAATTGCTTGTCTGGATCAGACGCCGCAGGTTCACATTACCCACTAACATCGACGGTAAGCATTGGTTGTTATTGTGTTTTATTTCATTCTCACCATTTGTATAGATCGAATCAGTTAGCTCTTGGATCAGTGGCTACAGAGGCATAGAGTCATATGTAGCCATGTCATTGGAGTAGCTACTTGATGTGTAAACTAGTCTTTCAATGATTTTTTTTTCACGCTCACCACTGAAAATTTTCGGGTTCGGTTCGAGTTCGGACCAGAAAAAAACCGAACCAGACCACAGAGAACTGTTCTCTGTGGTCCGGTTTGGGGTTCGAAGATTTTGCAGAACCGGACCACGGCAGCACTAGACGGACGAGTAAGAACATCTGCCGTGTGGAAAATGTCCAGGAGGACAGAATCAGTTTGTCCTCCGTGATGATTAGCAGGTTATGAAGACCGTCTGCCTTGACCTCACACGCGCCGTGTGAATCTTGGTCTTGAGTACTATGACTCCGTTTCACTGCTGTTACACGAAATGCTATGCAAGGCAGATGCAGTCTGCAGTTCCCGAAACGAGGAGCGTTCATCTGATCGAGAAGGGTATAAAGCTTTGAAGCTGATTCCTTGGCCTCGGTGTTTCGCAGTAAGGAGACCGAAGTCTGAATCTCATCTTCGGACAGAGATGTGGATTATTGATATAAATAACACCCAAAATGCATGTCGCTACAGTATCTCTAGCGTCTTGATCATGTCCGGAATAGAAGAAATATCTTTGACTTGCGCAATAATACCATAATCTGACGCGATCCTCTTGTATTCTCCGCCGCGCTGATGCGCTAGCAAAAACGCGCTAAAAGGCTGTTTAAGATGAACGATCAATCGCAAGGCTCGATCGCTCAGTTCCGAATCGACTGACTCCTGTGCTTCAGGAAACTCGCGAGGCGAATTCTGTAATGGAGACCCGGGCGCAGACCGATAACCTTCCCCGCTCTCCATGTCGTCATCAACGTCAGGCAGCTCTACCAAGCCAGACGGCTCTGAGAAGTTAGGAAGCTCGAGGAGGTAACGATTCCAAGGACGAACGAGCAACAATGTCTGCATGGTGGGTCGTGGTGATGAGAATTGATTCAGCTTGTCATTTGTGGTGATCAGCAGGTCATCTAGCCCGTCGGCCTTGACTTTATATATCTCTTGGTCTTCAGCGCGATTCCGTTTGACTGCTGTGATACGAAATGCGATGCAAGGAAGATGCAGTCTGCAGTTCCCGAAACGAGGCGCGCTCAAGTTGTCAAGTCGGGCGTAAATTTTTAGGACCAAATCTACAGCCATGACTTGTCGGAGCGAGGAGATTGATGTCTGAATGTCATCTTCAGACAGGCATGGCAGGGTGCACGGCGGAGCTGTGTATGAAGTGATGTTGGCCGGTAGACAGCTATTGAACTCGGATGATTTTCCGACCCAGTCCAGGGCACTGATGTCGCCCGACTGAGCTACGACCTCCTGCAAGAGCCTCCCTAGTGCCTTTTGCTTCTTCTCGCCATAAATGACAGGTAGGTTGACGCCGAAGATACCAAACAATGAGTATGCAATATCTTCCTGCAACGTGGTAACACGCGCTGACACCCATTGGAGTTTCTCCCGGGCATTTCTCATCCCCGGACGGAAGGCAACAAGGGTTCGTGCATCTATGCCTGTCGCATCTCCCATCTCCTGCATGATTGCAAGAGAATCTTTGTGGTTGGGAGAGCGATCGTCGAGATACAATGACCAATCCTTCTGGTAAAAGAGTACAAACATTGAAGCCAGGAATTCTTGAACTGTCCATCCTCGCATGTTCCAAACGCTACTTGCGAGTGCTCCAGGCTGCGATGAAGTTGCAACATCCGACAGGTAGACGATGGTGAGTGTTGAGTGGCGATACCAGACAAACATGGAGTTGACCGATTGTTCGACCTCGACATTGTTCGTCTGGTCAATGCAACAGGTATCGATCCATGCCCAGCGATACCCTTTATTACGAGCAGTTTTGCAGAATGACTGCAACTTCGCGATGCCGCCGACTGGATCCAAGTCGTACACCACCTTGTTCTGGATGTCATGCAGCAATGGCTCCTTCCCTTCCCACCTATGCGATAGCATGACATAACGGAAGTACATCGCCATCACGTCTCGGATGCGCTGCATTGGGAGATCTGCATCCTTCAGTGTGGATGACAAAAGCTCCTTGTACTCCGTGCTCGCTTTGAAGGCATCGATTTGGGTCTCTCTATTGCATAAGCGCCCAGTGGAGGTGTTGATTAGACGGTGCGGGGCGTCGTCGAGCTGAGCCTTAATGCTGTCTTCAATAGCATGTTCTGCTTCGGATGGACTAATATACTGTTGGCGCAAGTCTGGACAGAGAGTCAACAATGTTTGAAAGATGTGTGATTTGAGGCATACTTGTTGTTTCCGTATCGGCAGCACTTTCCAACTTGGAGAGCATGGTTTTGAGCGCCTCAATGGCTTCGTCATATCGATGTGCGTCATGAAGTACCGCATGCTTCAACTGATATCCAAAGTAAGATGAAGGGTCGAGTTCAATGACCTGCGTATCACCAAAATTAGCGTTGAGTACGAAACGGTAACTGTCATCCCACCTTTTCCGCATCGAGGAGTGCAGCGTTCCATAGCATTTTCCCCGACCTCGCTTTACTGCGGTTCGCAAAGGTGGTATGGGTTGCAAAGTCGAGATCGATCGCTGCAGAGTAAAGCTCGATAGCCTTATCGTAATTTCCCGCAGCGAGGGCTTCATTTCCGCCCACAGCGAGGTCAGTCACTCCGGCGGCAGCATAGATCTTGCTGCAATCTTGCTTGAAAGCTGAGTAAAATGAGGTTGAGAATTATGCGTGGTTGATATTACGAAGACTTGCCAGTGGACCAATCAAGGCAGCATGCTTTTGTAGCCTCATCAGCCCTATCCATCATGTATCGGTATGCTTTGATGGCTTCTGGAAGTCTACCTGCCAGAAGGAACGCACGGCACCAATTCCTGTGTGCGTTTTGCCACAAGGACTGAAGGTCCCACCCGAATAACTACAAGAAGCACAGTGAGGCATCAAAATGATTTCTAGTTGCATTGCGATCAACTTACCACCACGAAGACATCATATCTAGGATGGATGGCCGACATAGATGAGAAATCAATAGTGTTGACAGCAGCAGTGAAGTGGCCAACCGCTTCGTTGTGATGCGCGTCCTCTAATGCATTCATTCCCACTTGGACGTGTAGATAAGCCTGAAATGCGAGGTTCGCAAAATCAGCATCGATACATGAATGTGGAGATGACCGTGTCAGGAACATTCACTTCTACGATACCACAGGCAAGAGAATTTGGATTGGGACGAGTGGTAGCTAGCTGTTGGACGCGTGAAATTGCCTCGTCATGTTGATTTGCATTGAAAAGGGCGATGGCCTGACAGCTGTCGTGTGAGTAGCGAGTACATGAGACACAATTGACGTACCTTGATCAAGAGTAGGAGACGGGTTTTATTCAAGTCCAAGTCCGCGTCCACGTACATGAATGCGAGGTCAAATGCTTTCATCGCATCCTGGAACTGTCGTTTTCCACAGTGGGCGATGCCATTGGAGATACACCCGATCAAGGATGGCTGAATACTGATACTCTATATGATCGTACAAATTAGCCAGTTTTAAAGGAACCACGACGAGAATAATGTCACTTTTAATGCATCATCAAGTGCGCGGTCCCAGTTGGCTTTTCTCGCCATAACAAACGAGCGATTTGCATAAGAGTTGTAGTCATTGTCATCGGCGGCGATGTCGTGTGTTAACATTTTGTCAGCAGTGAGCAAGTCTCCGGCTATGCATGCATCGCGGGCTATCGTGCTGATGGTAAGGATCTGCATTATGCATGGTCAAATTAAGTGGTAGGCGTAAAAGCTAGAAACATACTTCGCATTCAGGCTGTCGAGCATTGGCATCGAGATTGAGGATCAATAAGCAAGGAGATGAGCAAAGAACAAGAACTCGCATTATTTGCCTCATGTTCCTTCAAAGTGTCTTTCTGTAATGCATCCTCGGAGAAATAAGATGAAAAAGGGATGAAAAATGAACAGAATCTTACATCTGCTGCCTGGTCCTCGAGAACATCCTCTAGCGAAGGTACTTCCCACTTCGAGATCATTAAATCTTTTCCTCCACTCAGGATGTACTTGCCATCCATGGAGAAGGCGGCACAATGCATCTCTTCGGTGTGTTTGAATATGGCAACGGTTTGTTGATCCGAGAGCCGCCAAAGGTAAACCTCATCAGTAAATTCACACATTGCTTGAACTTCCTTTTTTTGCAACTTGCTGCCGGGTAATTCCAAAAAAGGAGCGGAAAAGTCATTCATAAGAACGGTGACACCAACTTGCCATCAACTTGCCACAAGGCAATTTAAGTCGAAAAAGTAGATGCCTCCTCTTGACTTCGACTTTTTTCAAACTTTTTGTTGGCTTTTTTGGCACTTATTTGTAAAATAGCCCACATTGCAAGTAGTGCAAGTTGGGGCTACTTATTTCACACTTGTTTCGACAAAAATGACAAAATATTGCATTCAAGGATAATTACATGATAGGACTACTAAGTACTAGTGGGGAAACAATACAACTACTTGTGGCAGTGGCGACTAGATGCAGAAACGAACTCAAAGAATGGGGAGCCAGCAGCAGCAAATTTTGAAGAGGGTGAAAGGCGGGATGCGAGGAATGAAAGGCGGCATACAAGGCAGACGGCACATGAGGCAAGCGGCAGACTGCAATGAAGCAGACGCTATTAATAAAAGGAAGTAAAACAAATGAAAAAAACTTACTTGGAGGTATGCGAAAGGACAGGCGAAGTTTGGACACTGAGGCAAGCGGACATTATTAGTCAAGGGAAATTTAAAAAAATGAAAAAAAACTTACTTGGAGGTACATGAAAGGACGGGCGAAGTTTCAGATGCTGAGGCAAGCAGACATTATTAGTAAAAGAAAATACAACAAATAAATAAAAACTTACTTGGAGGCCATGCAAAAGGACGGGCGAAGTTTCAGACACAGACATTTTTAGTAAAATGGAAAAAAAACAAATAAAAAAACTTACTGGGAGGTGTGCGAAAGGGTGCGAGACCATGAGAGTGAAGTTTCAGACACTGAGGTATGGAGGTATGTGAGATGATGCATGGAAGTTAGATTGAGAGTCAGACAAGGTTGAACGTTAACGTTGAGAGTGAACTTCGTGTGAAAAACTGACGTGGTTCAAATATGACACGTGACGCGTGATGGTTCACAGCGCTCATTTTTGACAAATCCTGAAACTGCATGCGCCCATCTTTGTCATACTGACTTTAGCTTCATGCAGATTGAAGGAATCGGTTTGTATAGTTTGGGTTTGGGTACTGTACGTGCATCTATCAATTGTTCTTTCAATTTTTGCTAACTGCAGCCCTCCACACACCCCCCGGCACATCTCTCGCATCCTCCCAATCCAACCATGCCTGACTGCACCCTCCAGCACCCATACCTGGCGCCCTCCAGCACCCTCCTTGTTCGAGTTCGAGCCACGCTGATCCAAGTCATTGCCACCGCTCGCAGGAAGTGAGTGTGTCGATCCTCGTTTGAGCAAGACCCATGCTGATCTAAGTCGTTTCCTGCTGTTCACAGTTCGTGAGTCTGTCGATCCCCCTTCGAGCAAGACCCATGCTGATCCAAGTCGTTTCCTGCTGTTCGCAGTTCATGAGTCTGTCGATCCCCCTTCGAGCTCAAGCCACGCTGATCCAAGTCATTTCCCACTGTTCACAGTTCGTGAGTCTGTCGATCTCGTTATTGTGTTGCTACTACTGATATACATTGTACCTACACCCATATGTCTAGTACATGAATACATGGGTCATGAGTTACTACCTGCCGCAGGTTACATACCAAGTTGAACTACTTATTTACTTGCTGTACTTATTTCTGTTTCGAATACTTGAACTGACTTTTTTGATCTTATGCTACTTTTCGGCACTTGTGTGTCATACACTTCCTTTTTTGACTTGTGAAAACAAACAGCCAAGTGAATAAAGGTGAATAAGTGTCAATAAGTTAAAAATAAGTTTTAATTTTCGAAAAAAGGTCTGC